ATTCTAAAGATGAAAAATAGTTGCAGTCATGAATGAATGATGTTTATTAAGTTTGTCGACGTTTCGACCAAAGCATGTCGGTCATAGTCAGAGCAAACTTTTATCCTTATAATCACTCACATCCCACCTGCTTGGATGGCTTTATTATTTTTCATCTTCCCATAATTTTCCCAAATTATCCAAGAATAACTATCTTAATATTACCTAATAACTGTCCGTAATCCGTACCCATGTTCACGAAAAAAGTGGGGATGAATGCCGGATTATCCATAACGATGACCCCTAACAGGGGCTGAATACACAATTAATACGGACCCCCTGACTGCATCAGATATTCAAAGCTCCAGCCTGACTGATCGTCGAGATGACACGCGACAAATGGACCAATTTTTTCCCCTCTTGTTCTCCTTTATCCATTTCTCCCCTATTTTCCTCCCACCTGACACCGATCAGGGAATATTGTCAATATCCTTCGGAATTTGTTCTTGTCCCGATGAACGGGCCTCGCTTTGATTGTCTACCGTGTAGGAGGAACCTCTCACACGGAGTAGATTTGTCATTGAGCATTTGTTTGAGACATTTGTTCTGCTGTCCCAGGACGACTGGTGTTTCAATACGGTTTCTCTATGCATGTGCTTATATCAATCAGTTTGAAACGGATCGGCTTCATTTATACTTTTTTTGTGTATGCTTAATTATATACTTGATTTATATGTTAAAGTACAATAATATTTGGAGACTCCATACCCTTGGCTTTATTTAAACTATTATGTTTTACATAAATATTTTGTCTTAAATATTATCCACTTGTCTTCTATAATCTTATATAAAAACGCTGCAAATTTCACAATGGTTTGTTATTTCCATTCAATTATACATCTGAAGTAACATTTCCTTCCTAGTGACATAGAAAATGAAATAAAAGGTTATTCCAAAAATCTAGAGCCCATATCTTTGCTCTTAATTGTCCGATTTTAACGAACTTTTTTTTTTTTTTGAAATTTCGTAAAAATTTTAATATCAATACCTACAAAAATGTGTATACTTTTTGAGTTATTCGGAATATAATTTTACCACCCCTCGTAACTTTTTTTCCAGCATCTTTTCCTTGAAGTATGTTATATAGATAAATTTAAAGGGCATCGAGAAGAAGATTTTAGCAATGTTTTATTGAATTCAGTACATTCGTTTAGGCGCTACAGTCCATAGCAACGCAGGTTTTTCGGTCACCATCTTGAAATGAAAAGATTGAAAGGATTTGTTTGCCCAATTTTTATTAGAAATGTTGTCAATTAATATGAATAAACTATAAGAATGGTTTGAGATTTTTTTCTTGAAAATTCATATATCGATATACTTTAATAATAATAATAATAGTATTGGAGGCATATGGTACCCAAGAACTTGGACTTGATTTGGCGCATTTAAAAGCAGCACAAAAACTAGTCCCGCTCGATACTTGGAGGATTTTCAGAAAGTTTCTGAATAAACTGAATATTTTTTTTTTTATTTCTACGTTCATCTTTTTTTTCCGAAATGTGGATGCTATTCCAAAAATCTAAGATAATAAAATAATAAAAGGCTTAGCCAACCCGAAAGTTCGATCCCGACACCACCAATCGCTTATCACACACCTCCTTCCACTGTTCACCGTCCACCCCCCAGTCCCTTCAGATTCGCCTTAACGTAATCTTCCCATCTTCTCTTCAGTCTACCCCTTGAACGTTTACTAGTCGACACAGCAAATATAAACTTTTTAGGAATTCTTGCGTCACTAAGCCCAATTCCATTTGATTCGCCGCTATGTTATCACCTGAATCATATTAACCAGATACAGTTCACGCAATTCGGCGTTGTGTAACCGTTTAAAATGTCCGGTTAACTCATATTTTTTCGGTCCGAATATTTTACGCAATACTTTATTTTCAAAAACCTTAAGACGTTGCTCATCCCTAAATGTAAGCGGCCGCGTTTGGCATCCATGAAGAACTATAGGTAGGATAGTGGGATATACTTTAATACTCTTCGAAAAAAAATAATAGTGAACTTTATAATTTATAAGCTTATTGGTTGGTCGTTACCCTGCTTGAGAAATACGTTAATTTAAAACCTGTAACTCCTTTGAAGTTTCCATCATCTCTGTACCAAGTGGCCTTCATCGTGAAGGGAGTGGCAATCCCCTGACGCGGGATTGATGAGGAACAGGGGTACCGCCGGTAACCCGGTGCTAAGTGTGGCATCCTTAATTATAGCCTCCCCCCAATCTATCTCACTTCATCCCCCCGAATTAAGACAAACTGCTACCTCGCTCTCTTTACTAACCAGTCTGTTGTTTGCTCTTCCTCTCTCTTGTTTGTTATCTACATTTACACTTAATATAAACCATCGATGTGATCCAGCCACCATATGGATGAACTCTAATATGGAAAGTGATTGAAATCTGTATCCATATATAGTAAACGATAATTAAGTAAGTAAATGTATCATATTAGCGATACTATAAGGAATAGCCGAAAGGTTTAAAGGATGCTTGTCTGGACGTATTTAACAGTATTGCTAACGCACCGTGCGACATTAACACGCGTAGAGGACTTCATTACTTTTAAACAAACAAAAGTAACTATTTTTATTATATTTATTTGAATAATTATTGTTATCTTTGTACAGAAAGAGTAATTATTGTTTGTTATAACCTTCCTGAGTTGCTGTTGTTTCCTCACTTTTCGTTTCAGAATGTGTTTGAATTGGATTTCTTGAATTAGTTCAAGAATTGTGTCAGTGAAGTATTAGTTCTAGTTGTGCCATATTTTATTTTATATTGTTGATGTGGAATGTGCTGTCTGTATATGTGCGATCCTTGATGTTTATTTCCCGATGATTTCTTAATTGACGAAATTTTGTCGGGTTATTGTTTACCTGTTGTTTACTGTTTCGAGGGTTTGTGTTTGGAATCTTTCTATAATATTCTAATATTCTATTTATTTATTTATAATGCGATACCTAAATCTTGTATTTATACCGAATTATTTGTGAAAATTAATTTCCAGCTTTAGAAAATTCTTAAAAGTTGTTATAAAAAAAGTATTCTTAGTATGACGTAAGTATATAAAAGATTTATAATGTATGATGACCTATTGTTTAATAGCAATTTCAAATATTATTGTTATAGAATGCAACTAAAGAAGGCTACAAAAGATTATTGCTAAATAATATTCATTTAAGTCGATCTTTTCGATGAGAGTGACATTTCTCGATGATTTTTTGATGAAAATGATGACATTTTAAAAATATTTTTATACATTATATATAATCAGTTTTTCTTATCACCTCAGATTTTCTTTAAAAAAAACAAAAAAAACTTCCCGATTGGTGATGATGTTTCACTCTCCGTAGACTTGAAGCATACCGAAGGATCGCTGTATCGATTAGAGGTGGACAGTTTATCAGCGAACGGACCAAGTTAGGCCGATAAAAGTAAGGATGGGACATAAATCCCAACCGAAGCTGAAAGAAAAAATGTCGCCCCCCTCCCACCGAAAAAGGAGGTTGATTTACCGATACCTGGCTCCAGAGCTGACTGGACACAACTGGACAATAATTTTATCCGAGTCACAGATAGCTGCAAGAGATTTATCATTTCTACTGTCACTGGTGGAGCGGTCGTGTCTGCCAACACTGCCCATCGCTTCCTTCTCTGTCCCTTATCATTATCAATAGTGTATATATATATATATATATATATATATACATATATATATATATATATATATATATATATATATGTGTGTGTGTGTGTATATAAAGGGTCAAACTAATTGATATATATATATATATATATATATATATATATATATATATATATATATATATATTAATTAGTTTGAACCTTTCAGTCTATTAGGTAACGTTCAGTATGACTGCTAAGATGATTACATTAATTATATACTTACTGTGTATTTGACTTCGAGTGCTTAAGTCAATACGAGCAACCATGTGATGTCCATTCAAGGAGAAATTTTCACATGGGGTCCGGAGCAGTTGGAGCGCCTCCCCTGATGGATAGCTACCATCAATTCCTTCTTCTCGCATCCATCATCTGAGATAAACATTGGGCAACTAATTAATAAAGATAAGGTAGAACATTTTTTACCCGGCTCACTACCTGGCCATCAGGCGAGCTCTCTTCGACAGCGACTGACATCTGACGACTCGAACTGACGGGGCCGTGCAAAAAGTGACGCACTATTAACGGCAGATCCCACGTCAAACGTCACTCTTTTACAATATCCACTTTTTTCATCGAATCTTTTTGCTGTATCTTGATGTTTTTTTCTTAATTTATTAGAGAGTCTGTAAGTGGACGTTTGTCTTTTGTTACTTTACGTAATTATCTTTTAATAGTATTTTTTATGAATAGTCTCCATTTTTTTTTAAATTTAAACCTGGCCAACCGAAATGGCTCTAGGGTCTCGTTACATGTCAAGGACGCAGTTTCTTGAACAACAGTTATAGTTCATGGTACAGACTCCTTTTTATCGAATTATTACCATCCGCCTAAAACCTCGTGAATTGCGTAAAACCCATTCTCAGAAATAGGAAGTTTTCTCATTTAAATAGGAACTCATCAAACTCGTAAATATGCATTTGCTTCTCCCCTGAATCGTAAGATAATTTTATAAAAAATCGGAAAAATGTTGGTGGCCTACAAAAATATTTGTCCGTTTGGCCTATATATACAACATCGTTACTTTGACATGCTGGAGGTGGAGGCCATGCCAAACGGTCTAATATTTTTGTAGGCCTCCTTCATTCTCAATTTATTATATGATCCAATTGGGAAGCAAGTGGGTGTTCATGAGTTTTTAGTACGTAATTAAATAGAGAAAGTTTACCGGTATCCAGATGGAAAACGCGATGATCTTTATGATCTTTCAGGCGGATATTAATAATTTGATAAAAATGTGACTGTTCGACGGACAGTACATACATATTATACGAGGATGTGTTGTGGTCCGCGCTCAACAAGAAGGTTCGTCCGCCGAACCAATAATAGGATAGATATTAGCTTTTTAGATAATGATAAAATAGAACATGGATTTAATAATAAATTTTCAGATAATAATATTTTTACACCTTCGTATACTCGATACCGCTTGAATTAAAAGGGTCACATATTAAAAAAAAAAGTCATTCTTAATCCAAACAACATTCAATTCCTACGTTCTTATTGAATGTTTGTCGGTGTTTTCATTTCAAACGACGCGAAAAGAGTTGATACCGTGTTTGCATGATTCTCACCCTACACAATCATGTGATGATGTCCGCAGATTTCACTTTAGTTTAAAGTTCGATGTCGGAGTTGTGCTTTGGGGCTCAACTAAGACATCGAATTCCTCTCGTACAAATCCATACAATCCAAAATCATTCGTAAAATACTCAATACTCCTTCCTTTGTCACAAATAAAATCATCCATGACGACCTTAATGTTCCTTATGTTTCTGACCTGGCCCAATCCAGATGTCTATCATTCCATAACAAACTTTAGAACCATCTCGTTTCTAATCTTGCTTCGTCTTCGATCCCTGATAACCCTTTGAGGCGTCTGAAAAGAGGATGTCCTCGAGATCTTCTATTGTAAATACATTTTTAGAATGAGAGTAGTTTAAACTACCAGAGAGTAGTTTCCCAACGGTGGTTTCATTATACTTTTGTGTTCACATTAACTGAATGTATTTTTGTTTCTAATACAGTTGTAAATAACAAAAATTTAGAAGTATCCTCTTTGAGAATACCGCTCTGTACACATGACGTCACCAATGGAAACTACAACTCCACCCCGCGATAGCGATCAAAACTCCTCAAAAAGGCCCTTCGATTCGCCCAGATGCAGCTCACAAAACCAAAGCCCTCGGGCGCTGAGCTGATTGTTCGATCAGGAACAGAGAACTGCGGCTGACAAAGGACACAGCTACATAGGATTTAATAGAGATCAGCCAATGAAAAGCGGGATAATGAGCTGAATATTGTGACGACAAATTGGCCGCTGTGGTCTCGGTAATGTTTGTTAGAGAGCCCAGGACGTAGCTCCATGATCACAGACTTCATTAGGTTGCTAATAGAAACTCTAGTTATCTGAAACAAACGGAAAACTGATCCCTTTTAATTTATACCCAACAGTTACAGGAAATCTCTCGATTGAAATTGATCAACTTATAGTTAATGCTTAATCAAAAAGTGGATTGGACGAGCTTATATCCCTGTAAACAGGAGTTATATTGTATGTATTACCGATTCGGTGATTTGTTTCGCCCTTCTACAAAGGATCTATGAAGTGATATCCACGGATTAAACCAGAAGAATAAACCAGCAGTATATGTTTTGCTGTAATCACAGTACCAATATAACCAACCGTTTGTGCATACAGCACATTACAGGTCTTTGATTTGTATTCGTAGTGATTATATATTTTTTAAGTCAAAACTTATTTAGGCGCGTTATGCAGTTGAACATCATTGATGTCAAAATTTCCTGAATTAAATGTGCCAAACCAATTTTGTCAGGTGCGTTCGGTTAAAGCTGCATCTCCATAAACACTGTAAATTTTTCTATGTACTCTTACCTTTTTTAAAACAACACAACAAAATATTTTTATTTATTTCCTCTTTATCTTTATCTCATCTCTATTCTTTTCCTCTTTATTATTTTCTCTTTTGCCTAACCACATGCTTCCTCTATATTAGCGCATTTTTATTTTCTCGTCGTTAATGGAATCTTTCGTTTCCAGGGGAAGGAGAAGGAGACGCCCCAGCAGGTCTTCAAGAGGAAGAAGGCTCCGCATCCGGAGAAGACGAAGTAGGAAGCACAGGATCCAGTGCACCCTCCCCACCACCACTAGAACCAGCAGCTCTGTCAATCAGGTGAGGGATGACAATCAACATATTATTTATTATTATTAGTATTAAAAAAAATCTATGTATAAGGATAATATTCCATGGATATTCCGAAATATGGCCTGGTTTTGCAATCGCAAGCTCAATGTAATATTTAATAAAAATTAAAAAAAAAATCATAAAAGACTTTCTTATTTATAAAATTCAATTCTCAATAGTCTAGTAACTATATGATTTAACCGTATTTAACTTCCTAATACTCCCAGATTGAGCACATCGGATAAAATGGTTTATTAAACTACTCATATACCATTTACTAAATCTCTTAACATTTCTTATGACAAAACTCTCAATAATGCAATAACTGATGTAACATAGACCCTACTATTCAGGCGTATTTCATGTTATAAAGACGCACTCCGACACTGGTTTAGTTTCCAATTACTCGGATCCGATCGCGATACTCCATCCGAAGCCGGTCCAGGACCCAGGAGAACCGAGACAATAAAGCTCCTCAGCTTTTTTCCTTTTGTTGGCGAGAGAGCACTCTCTGTACTTTTTTGTCCGTACGTCAGAAGATCCCGTGGTCAGTAAATCAGCGCCTGTAGAATGGCGGCCTCTGAGATAACCACTGACACACACCTCTGCTTTTGTTTGTCTTTATGGATTGGCTCGTGAAAATTATGTTTTAGCTAAATACAGCGTTCCTCTTTTAGTTTTTTCATTTAGTAAAAAATTGTATGGCTTCCCTGCATTCGGAAAGTATTGTTGAAATTTAATGTGATTAAGTAGTAATAATTTTAAATTTTGGTTTTTTATTGGGAATCATTTGAACTATTACTTACAAAGTAAATAAATAATGTAGGATGAGCGTTATTAAAAATGTCATAACTTTAATTATAATTAATATACATCAATACTTTCACATTCATTAATTACTTTAATTCATTAATCACTACTTCGAGTTAATATTGTTTTTTTTTGTTTTTACAGAGAAGGACTGAGCCCAGGTCAGGAATCACGAGGTTCCTCTGTAGCGCGATCCCCATCCAGAGACAGTGTCTGCAGCGAGCGAGCTATGCCAGCCGCCAGCCCCCTCTTGCCTGCTTTCCCGCAGCCCATCCACAGGATAATGGCGTCGCCTCATGGGTCCGTATCGCCTCTAGTATCTTCATCGTCCCCGCCAGTCCTCATGCCAGCCGTATCCCCAGCAGAGTCCCCAGAGACCGTCCTCGACTTTTCGACCAAGCGGTCCACATGCGAGTCACCTGTCCTTAACCTCAGCAAGTCCGTCTCGCCAAGTCCAGAGGTTCCACTCAACAGCCCCCTTGATCTCTCTGTCACCAGCAGAAAACGGAGTATGGACGACTCCTCTCAAGCATCCCTTTCGCCAACTCCACAGGTAAAGAAACCCTCTAGGCCGTCAGATTACAAACCAGTGGTCTCGCCTTGGACTTCTCCTGTAGTCTCACATTTCCCTTACTTCGCTGCAGCCGTCGCAGCCGCTAACAGTCTCTCGCCAAAAGGAAATACTCAGCCTGAGATCTGGAACGGCAAACTTAAATTGCCTGAAAAAGGGTTTCCCACTCCCACCCCAAGCGATGCTACCAAAGCTCTTGAAAAGATGAGTGAGTTAAGCAAACTTGGAGGCGACGAATTCAGAGCTGGAGGAGCAAACAGGCATAGTGCTTGGCAGTCACACTGGCTCAACAAAGGAGCAGATCAGGCAAAAGATGTACTCAAGTGTGTCTGGTGCAAACAAAGCTTTCCAAGTCTTGCAGCTATGACGACTCACATGAAGGAGGCTAAACATTGCGGAGTAAACATCCCATCTCCAATTATTCCACCACCACCACCTCCGGTACCTCAACATACCCCAGTTTCATCTCCATCCAGTGTTTCTTCAGGGAATGGAAAGTCCGGTCAAAACCAGGATCTTAATCTACTTATCAAAGAAACTATGCCATTGCCACGAAAGCTGGTCAGAGGACAAGACGTATGGCTTGGAAAGGGTGCCGAACAAACTAGGCAAATTTTGAAATGTATGTGGTGCGGCCAGAGTTTCCGATCCCTTGCTGAAATGACCAGTCATATGCAACAGACCCAACATTATACGAATATCATTTCACAAGAACAAATAATTTCATGGAAGTCAGCTGACGAATCCAAATCTTCAGGTGGTAGCGGAAACATGTCGTCACCAACGGTGGGTGGAGGAATCGCAGGTGCTCCAGGTAGTGGAGGCAGCACAGCTAGCAGCCATGTGAGTGCTGTTCTCACTTGTAAGGTTTGCGATCAAGCCTTCAGTTCACTGAAAGAGCTCAGTAATCACATGGTAAAAAACTCTCACTATAAGGAGCACATCATGAGATCAATAACAGAAACTGGGGGGCGTCGGCGTCAAACGAGGGAAAAAAGAAAGAAGTCTTTGCCGGTGAGAAAGTTGCTAGAACTTGAACGAGCACAAAACGAATTGAAGAATGGTGAAGGCATAATGCTCATGGGAAAACACGGCAGGGAACTTCATTCAGCTGGACGTATAACTTGCGAAAAATGCAAAGAAAAAATCGACATGGCTGTGTTTGTTGATCACATAAGACTCTGCGTAGGAGGAGATCACAAAAATCTTCTGAAGAACGCCCTTTTGTCCTCAAATGTGATACCAGATCCTCATTCAGTTCACGTTGCCCAAGCTCTCCGTGAGAGTAGCAAAATGAAATCTGAAGAAAAAAGGCGACATCGATCCCCGATTCCTACAGATCTTTCGATAAACCCTGGGAGTCCGAAGGAGGGAAAGCAAGAAGGAAAAGGATCATCTCCATCAGTTCTGAATGCAATCGAAAAACTCATTGAGAAAAGTTTCGATTCCAGAGCAAGACACGGTGGAGCTGGATTCGTTGGTCCCGGTGTGCCAGGGCAAGCTCCAATGGGGTCTAGTATTCTCAAAAGACTTGGGATAGACGAAAGTGTGGATTACACGAAACCTTTAGTTGATCCTCAGACGATGAATCTCTTACGCAATTATCACCATCAGCAGCATGCATATAGGCGGGAAAGGAGTGGAAGTGAATCCAGTTCGATCTCGGAACGAGGGAGATCAGATGTTGTCACTCCAGATAGAAATTATGAGAAGGACAGGTACACTCCTAGAACAACTCCTGAAAAAAGGATACAAACTCCTCCGTCAACTAAAACATCACACGAAGATTCGACTGATGGAGAGGTAAGAGTGAAAAGAGAGACTCCAGATGAAGAAGTTCGTGTAAAAAGAGAGCCTGAAGAAGTTCGTGTAAAGAGAGAAATCGAAGATTATCCCATGGATACGGCATCTAGAGAAATAGCTATAAAGCAAGAGATGGAAAATGGCAACGAAGATGATGAGGATAGGCGGAGCTATCAGAGTGACGAACCCTTAGCGAAAAGGATTTGTCAGGACGATGATAGAGCGGCAACGGAAGACGACGATCAAAGAAGTCATAGAACAAGTGCAAGTCCAGCAGGGAGTCCGAACCGAGGCGAGCACCCCAGCCCTGGCCGAGCCAGCAGCAGCCCGGCGAGTAGTGACCGTTCTGGTACCCCGAGGAGCACTGGAGAGAAGAAGGGATCCGGGAGCCTCGGGGCCTTATCTTCGATGTTCGACAGCCTGTCCGGGGGCGGTGGTGGGGAAGGTGGCAGTTCTGGGGGCAAGGGAGCCAGCCATCCCCTGGCCGCGCTACAGAAGCTCTGTGACAAGACTGAAACCCACACTCCAAGGACATCAGCTTCAACGCTTCCGGCCCCAGGCACTTCAGCGGCTCCGACTGCTCCAGGAGCCATCCTGGCTTTCAGCTGGGCTTGTAATGATGCCGTCGTCACAGCTGACTCCATCATGAAGTGCGCTTTCTGCGACACACCGTTCATTTCGAAGGGCGCTTACCGACACCACCTCAGCAAGATGCACTTCGTGAAGGACGGCGTGATACCGGACCCGGTGAAATCGCCGAGCCCAGCTCCCAAACCGGCCAATAACAACGGGCCTTCCACGTCCGCCGCCGTCCCGCCGGCCAAGAGCCCCCAGCAGAGCTTCGAGGAAAGCCCACACTCCAAGTTCCTCAAGTATACAGAACTGGCCAAACAGCTCTCAAGTAAATATGTATAGTCCGTAAGGCTGTTGTAATATATCTCCTGTGTACATTACCCTTCAGTTGCCATTCCTGTATAAAGTGAAGTTTGCTGCATATCTATTTGAGCGTGATAGTAAATAGTTGTAGTGTAAAAGTATAGCGATCTCTAACTTCATGTATACCTTTACCAGTACGCCTTAAAGTGATGAGGACATTTACTGGCGTCCTTTGTAAAACACATATGTATACTCAATGACACGTGATATATTCAGATTATAATAGATTCGTTTTATTATATTTATTTTATGTTAGTTTGTAATTTTTTTAGGCGGTTCAAAAGGAAATCGTTGAATTCATTTAGTGTTGCAATTGTTGTTCATAATGTATAGTTAACTGAGAGCCTCAACACGGACCTATGGATTGATGAGTCGTGTTTGTATATTGTATAAATATTGTAGAATATTCTAATGAACCTTGTTTGTATAATTATTTCCTTTTGTAATGGTTGGAATGAATTCTTCGATTTCATATTGCCCGTTATGGGTCTGTGGCCTATTAATGACTACTGTCTTTAAGGTATACGTTCTCACCTTTTTAATAGCTATGTAGGCATTGTCTGTTTGGTATTATTCCACGTGATATGATAAATATATATAATTATTCTTTTTATTAATGGTAATTAAAAATCCCAGTATAGTTGATATATTGTAAATTAAATTATATAAGTCATTCTGAATTTCTTCTAATTATATAAATAAAAATATATATTGTATGTATTTACCTTAATAATATCTTTATCTTCTGAGACGATTATGAATATCCAAAATTAAATTTAAAAAATGGAAAAAAAAGAAGAAAAAAAAAACACTATGAATGTTTGTAAATTGCATTGATAGTCATTATTTTTAAATAAAAGGTAAAATCATGTTAACTATTGTACAATACGTATACGTCAGATTTAATCAAGTCATATTTTGCAAACAAGCTCATTCATGGTTAGAGAATAAGAATTTAAATATAATTTAGTTTATTAATGCGGGGCGTGCGCCGCTCCTGAGCGAGGCGTTCGTAATTGCAATAATATATATATATATATGTGTTCACAGTTAGCATTCTTACCTCATTGCCTGCCAGTGATACGCAGGAATAGAAGCTCTACCCCGTTTTTTGTACTAATTTTATTTGAATTTTTATTTTGTTATTAAGCTTGAAAATTTTCAAAAAGATTTATAGGACTTGTCTCGAACTAATTTTTTTTTTATTATTATTTGTTAATGATAAATTCACGTTAAAAATATTTGTCATTTTTTAACAGTTATATTGTTCATCTTTAATATATTTTTATTTAATTTAATTTATTATGAAGTATGTTCATATCCAAAATAATCTGTAATGTTTCATCCGCAACGTATTTTAATTAGTGCCGCGTTTCATAAATCACATGATAAATTATTTTATAACAATATATTTTTAAAATATAGGCTACCTTTTTAATTAAAAGGTATATAAGGAACCGGTCATCTGTCAGAGTTCTCGTTGGCACGGTGGACAATAGACGAACTCCTGGCAACACTGTTAGGGCTGTTTGGAATTAATTGCGGGAGATTCTTTGATGTATAAATACTTCTAAATGTGGCGGAGTGGTCATTACTAAGCTCGCTACATAAATCTGCTCAAGCTTCTATTCCCGTCTGGCATCACTCAAGGCAGACAGCACGCCCTTCTAATAGCACTAGAGGAAACCGAAATCTTCCCAATATATATATATATATATATATATATATATATATATATATATATATATATATATATATATATATATATATATATATATATATTTGTAATGTGCCAGGCCTCTCTCCCCTCCTCTCTCTCTTTTTACGATTCTCTCTTTTTATTAATTATATTTCTATTAAGCAAAATACGATTAAGAAAAAAAAATTATGATAAAAAAAACAATTTGTTCAAATGTATACCGAAAAAATTTGATTATATAAAATATTATTTATTTTGTAAATTATATAGATGTAAAATAATTGAATAATAATTAAAAAAAAAAATGAATGACGAAACGGTTATCTAGTGGTATTAGAAATTAAGGATGTTAGATATGTTTATACACTGTCCCATAAAGTTGTATTTATAAGACTTAATGATTCTATGTGACCAAATGAAAAGTATACGATTTTTTGAATTTACAAAAATAAAAAATATTAAAATAAAAAACTTTTGCAATCTCAATGATACATATTTGATATGTTTCAGTTGTAATATTATGATTTTATTATTATTATTTTCTTTTTCATTCTCTCTGAGAAACCTCCAATTGTCTTTGTATGTAAATTTAATGTACGCATGCCTCTAACCTAGGCCAACATAAAATAAAATTCAACTAAATCTGCTGATAAGGTTTTCGATTTTATTAAAATTTCATTGTCTGTTTATAAACGAGGCAGTATTTAAATTTATATTATTAAAGTAATATGGAAAGATGTTTGTAATATAAGATGATGCCAAGAGGTGATTAAATGTATAACTTTGTTATCTGTACAAAATAAAAATATTGACATTTTGACTTTTTTTTTTTAAAAAAAAGGGATGTGTCTAGTACAGTCATAAGGCTGCAAAATGCTGTTGTTGTTTCTTTTATTCTAATGATATTATTGATAGAGTATTATTGATTTCAATAAAACCCAGTCTTACCGCTATTAATGATTTCTTTTATTTTAATTTTTATCCCATATCATCCCCATAAAATATTTATCCTGTGGAAGAAAACCAAGAAGTGATTAATGGATATAAACATGCTAGTTTTTAAAATAAATTTTCTTTTTAAGTGTTATATGTGCATATGTGTGTGTGTGTGTGTGTTTGTGTTTGTGTGAGTTATGAAATAAACATTTTTTTTAAAAAACATAAAAAAAATTGTATTAAATCAAAGAAAAGAACAAAGAATGAAAAAATACTTAAATCAGAAATGGAAAAATGTCACTTTTAGTGTTAATCTGTGGTATCTTCGATTTAATACGTAATTGTTAATTTTTCATTTTTATTATAAATAACAACATTCATAGGTTTGAATATCTTCGATAGAACTGTATACTATCAAATATGAAAAGTTGCTATTTCAATCCTGCATTCTAAGGATTGTAATTGTAATTATACATTTTTAAACAGCGATTACTAAATCTTCAACCAATCATACAAGCAAATATTAGTGTGGAAATTAAAAAAACTATCCAGGTTTTTTTTTATTGGATAACTCCCTACCCATCATTTCTGGTGTGGAAAGGGGAATGGGAATTTGTTCTAGAGGTACGACCAAACCTATTCTAACCAGAGTGGGAGGGTCGAGTTTCATTCCGTGGGTCCGCCACGGATTCGAACCGGCGTCGTTAGGCACGAGAATGCTAAAATGGGCAACGCTCAAACACACTCGGCCTCATCACGACCTCATCCACTTCATTTTGGCTGATTTGGTAATGAACATTTTAGTGGCGATTTTCAGATTCGTTAGTTTGCCATTGTATCGCCGATACATATATTAGTTATCATAATGGAAAATAATAAGTTTTTTTTAAGCCTACTAGAAAGTTATATCAGGTAATGCCACTAGGCAATATATATATATATTACAACTTATAGAAGAAGGCGGGGTAAGATGACGAATTCAGTATTTTTCACCATCAATCACAGACAACAATACGTTTTAGCCTGCATAAGATATATGTAGTAGTGGACAATGTAACTCAGTAGTATAAACAAGTGTGACTCCAAGTTGTTTTGCCCAAAACTTCAGAACACTTTAAAGTAATTTTCGAATAACAAAACTGAAGAAATCAGTTGTCTAAGGTAAGTTTATCAATATTCTCACTAAAATATTCTGAATCTACAACCCCATAATACAAACCCATGGGAGATCCGTTTCTTTTTAGTCCGTGGTACACGCCTGTTTTTATTAAATTATTAATATCCGTCTAAAAATACGTCATATCATTGTAAGCTACCAATATTTTATTTACGAAAATACTCGGAATTTTTCAATAAGATCGACAAACTTTGTCTATTTAATTAGGTACTAAAAACTCATGAATACCCATTTGCTTTCCTGTTGAATCTTAGGATAATATAATCACCGTGTCGAAAAAAAAGGTGGCCTTCAAAAATATTGGGCTGTTTGGCGTGACCTACACTCCCAACATGTCAAAATAACGAGGTTGTGTAGGCCAAATGTTCCAATATTTTTGTTAAATATCCCTCAACACACTGGCGTATCAAAAGGTTGCGTGCCAAAACCACCTTTGTGGTCTTCCATAATGGTTCGAGAAATGGAAAATTAAGATAAATAGTAGTAAATCCATCCTCGTAACTTTCTCTCTTTGGAAACCCTCATGTCCACCATTAACGATTGACAATAACCCAGTGCCTTAAAACAACTATGTACGGTACCTCGGACTCTACTTAGACAAAATACTTACCTGGAACATACACACTAATTTAAAAAGACCAGAACTGACTAGACGATATAACCAACTATCGCATCTTCTGAACTACAGATATTCACTTAACTTACGAAACAAGCGACTGATCTACAACACTATACTGAGACAAATTAGGACGTACTGAATAGAACTTTGGGGTTCAGCAAAACTAACACACATTAATATATTACAAATGACATAATAATTTAATTCTACGAAAAAATGTCAACGCTACTTGGTACATTTCAAATAACACTCCATAACGACTTAAGCATTCCAACAGTAAAATCGAATATCCACGACAAATACACTTCATTTCATTCTTCAACTCTAAATCACTTCAATCCATTAGTACTTTCTATTTCTTGCTCTCTGTTACCTGATCGATGCAGACTAAAAAGAAAATGGCCAAGGGATCTTCTCCTACAATAATAACAAAATTAAGTTAATCAAGCAAACTTACAGTTAATTCCTAAAGCATCAAATATGCTAGGTGCGCTGCATCGCAGGTGCAAATGCCATAAAAGGTTAAAATAAATGAATGAATATTTCTTATTTCTTCCTTGGAAATTTTAATAACAGTTTGTGGTTCCTTTCACAGTTTTATATTTCTTGTTTAAGTTATATATTAACATAATTTGACAGAAATTCTTATTTAAGTTGTTTGTAAATGTTTTTAAATCCTTGGTCTTTTTTTCATCTTAACCCAACCCTTCGCCATCTTACTCCGAAGTTGGGAAAAAATGAGGAAAATATATATTTTTGGCAAAAGCCATGTTTCATCCTTCTGAAAACATAAGAAAGGTTGATAGTAGACATGAAGATCTACAAACAAGTTTAAATAAACAATCGCCGAATTTCCAACAGAAAAGTAGAAAATTCAAGATTTGTGATTTTTTAAGCGTCACACTTTTTATTGAATAATAAGTAATAACTTAAAAAATATTTGATTTAAGTAATTAAACATTGTTCCATTGTTAACTAGTCAAAATCTCCTTTAAACCAATGGTAGAAGAATGAAATGGGGTCCACACATCAAGTACAAACCAAAAGCTCTAAAGCTAGGACTACCACTATTATACTCAACCATTTCAACAAGACATTCGAAATTATAACTCAGACAGAAATTCAACACATATACTTACCCACTTAAGCCTATTATGACTTATGCTTTACAGATATACGGGACAGCCAAAACGACTAACATGCGTAAACTACAGGCTTTCCAATCAAAGGCATTCAGGACTATCACAAAGGTTCTCTTGTACCTCTGAAACATTATATAAAAGACCTACAGATGCCAACAGTTATCGACCACATACGAATATACTAGAAAAGATTTCATAATTACTCAACAAACTACTAATTCAAAGCATGACAACAACTAACATCCCCAATAGCATCCGTAAGAGGCTCAAAAGAAGCTGGATGAGGGATCTGATCCACTAACTACAAATATTAAAATCAAGACAGTAAGGATGCCGCTGGGCACTCCTCTTCCTCAAACCTATTTCAAGACCTGTTACTGATTGTTAGATTATAATTTTATTTAAAAAGTGAATAGGATATTCAAATAATAAAAATATTCAAATGAATCACGGTAAGATTAAGAATGTATATCATCTTCTATTCCATATGTTTACTGCCTCAATTTACTTGACAATACTGATTTGAATTATTCAATGGATGTTAATGAAGTTATTAGTTGAAAATGTCGACATTATTGTTCAACTTTCGGGAAAATCGTACAAGACATTTTTGAAACAAATTCCTTATCTTAGGAAATAATTTTTCTCATGTGTATTTGAAATTAGCGGATGGAATTTGTTGAAATTGAAACGCAGCCATCAAGGTACCAACGACTACTTTTCCTGAAAATTTGATCAAAATCGGATTAACCGTATTAAGTGTTGAGACAATGAGTAGATTTAAGATACATAAACCAAATTTGTTTCTTCACGTATAAAACACTAGATATTTTCGATTCTGTGGACAAAACATGTTTTAACCTTCCACATGAATGAATGTCCACCTTTGGTAGCGGGAAACGAAATTATAGATAAAGCGATTATCAATAATAATTATTATCATATAATGACTAAAACTTCGTGTGAAGGGAGGTGTTAAACTTTATCGCATTGTTCAACGCAGTGCAGAATTTAAAAAATATTTAAAAAAAAAAGTATACAATTAAATCAATACAATTAAATTAATACAAATAAATATATACAATTAAAAAATTAATTCAAATAAAATAAAATAAAATAAATAAAATATACAGTTAAAATTCCTTAAGTTACCTGGTTAAATACACCAAAGTTAAAAAAAAAAAAAATGGTTTGACCTACTGATAGAAAAATGCGAGAGGGTGATCTTTAGGGCTGATGTCTCTCTCAAAATTGGAAAAATTATATTTATTTTTTTGATTTTTGTGCATTTTCGTTTTTTGATTGATCAGAGCAAAATACGTTCTATTTTTAAATTATACCGCATGTATTTCAGATACTAAATCTTAGGCATTTGTAATGAAAATATGTTTGCAAAAATATCACTAAAAGCATAATTGTTCCTGAAGACTTAGGGCAACTTAAACATTCTTATATAACCCTTTTCTTCCAAATCACTACAAAATAAAAAAAAAAAAAGCAATCAAGCTCTACTCCACAAATTTGATTCGCTACTGGTTTGGTTTGCTTATGAATCATGCGTTGAAAAACGAATCGGGTAGCGTATGAGCATAGTATAATATTTCAGACATGAATAATTAAAAAAAAAAACTAATACCACTAACAAGATATAACAAAATAAATTAATTAATAGTTGAACTCAAAGTAAGGTGATGTAATAATGAAATGTCGTTAATTGGCAACAATGGTGGTTTTACTGATTTTCCTCAATTTATATGAATTTCTATGAACCAATACAAATTTAAAACTTAATGTTTCTTACAAAAATTTATATTTAAAATAAAAAAAAACCTGTAATAAAAATAAATATTGCTTCAATTATTTTCATTATAACTTAAATATAAGGACGAAAAATATTAAGTTCGTCAATGATAAATACATATCAATTCCTATAACAGAGATCTGGGAGAAAAACACAATTTCATAACCACTTTACATGAAGAATATTTTAAAAACCATTATTTTATAATTTTTATATTTATAAATAATATGTACTTACAGGCAATTATGCTTATAACAATACATCATATATCATAGAAAAACT